GTTAACCACTTAATTTTGTTAGTTATCTATTTTCTTAAATTTTCAAGTAATGTTTTTAAAATTGTAAAATATAGAGAAACTGATTCCCATCTTTTTTTATTTCTAGAATCGATCTGATAAGGTATTAGTATCCAGATGCAACATTGAAGATGAAATTTCGCACTACCATCATTGGTTCATTTTCAATAAACAAACAACAACAAAATAACAGTAACTTTAATAATCGACTTCAATAGATTGATTTTTTTTATTCCTTTCTCATTCCTTTGAACTTTGAACACCACACTAAGTTTCAATTATGTTTTTTTAGTGCATAATTTGCTTCAGAATTGACTCTCAGGATTCGAAAAATAATACAGTTTTTATAAAACTCGTTGAAAGGTTCCTTCTCTTCTATTGTTCTAGTTTCTAGATTAGAAAAACAATTAAATGGGTATAATTTTGCTCCCATAATATCTGTTGATGCAGAAACGCGATTTACTTTATTAACTGTAATGCAGAGTTTGTCGCTTACTGATTCCTAATCCATTTTATTATTTTGTCACTGTTCTAAATTATTTTTTTATTTTATCATTTATTACTAATTGTAAATTTATATCATTTTAAGTTTTTCAATACTTTGCGTATCCACATATTAAGAGATATTTTCGGGGGTATTTTCGAAATTATATGAGTGAATGCCTTTTTAATTTTTGATGGAACAAATTGTCCTATTCCTCTAGGAGGCGAAGGGGTTTTCCAAAGAAAGCAACACACATTGACATTTTTATTTGTATTTTACCTTTGATCGAGTCTCTTAAAATTTATTTCAGCCAAATTGTTGAAATCGAATATACACGAAAGCTATAGCGAGCATTAAAAGCATTGCTCTCACAAAAGCTAATGCGAGTAAGGAAGGTATAATTAGGTGACTTTAGAATTCATAGTTTTTAGACCGGGTCTCCCTCAATGTTCAATTATTAGCCCAATACTTCTTAATATCACAATTAACAGCGTAACCAATGAATTAAAAAAATGACTGAAATTTACGTGCTCATATGTGCTGATGACCTAGTTATCTACACCAATTGCAGTTCCTTTCAAGCACTCAATGCTTTTATAGATGAGCCTATGAAGATATTGTTCATGAGATGTTTTCATGTACATTAGCCAATGAAATGATAGTAAATACGACAGTTTCCGATTATCTCTCACTTCGGAGGTACAGGGTTCCATTATTTTATTTTATTACTATATACTTGACGGTTTTTTATTGTATATAAAATTTATTTTATATAAAAATTTTATATTGTATATAAATGACGCTACTGTTAGTACAAAGGATATGTAAAAAATGAGTTTTTTTACAGAAGAAAAAAAAAATCTTTTTCCACTCTACTCCAGCAATCTCTGAGAGCAGCCCTGAAGAACGCCTGAACTTCATGAAGAAAGGTCCGCAAATTTTAAAATAAATATTATTATTTATTTTGCCTATTTATTTCTGACTGATCACCCCAACCATCCTTCTCTTCATTATTCACGACAGTCAGCCATCAACCCGCTATTAAAAAAATTCTTTATGATTTAGGAGTATAATTTCATATTTTATTTCCCTCTGCTATTTTCCTATTTAGCAGACTACTTATAGCAGTTGCTAAGTACAAAATGTCCTTTTTAGCATAGGGAGAATAATAATACAATTGTTACATGTGACCTTTTGCACTAACAGTAGCGGTATGCATATTTTATTAGTTTTTCTGCATACGAATCACGTCTCTGGCTAAAATTTACTAAATTAAAGCTAAGGTTCTAAGAGTAAAGGCTATGTTGGAGAATCTTTAATGAAATTTGACAAAAAGTATCTCGTAACATTCCACTTTTTCCAAATATTAAGACATAAAAGTTTCTCATTTTTCTTCTTTTTCCTTAAGCACTAAATGAGTTGCGCCCTGATCCATATATATACCCTACGCGACCTTCACCCCCGGACAAGGTATGAAGCAATGGACCCATAGCCAGCGGAGCACTATATTAGATGCAGATCCTATCTACACCCAGCCGTGCACTTAATCTCGCCATTGCCTCACATCTACTCCTGTTAGATGTACTTTATGGCTCTGCGTATCCTTAATGCATTCGCACCTATTGTATGTTCGTTAGCTGCTTTGGTACCACACCCTCTCTCGCTAACGTTTCTGGTCTTCGGCGGGTTCTAGGAGTTGATTGTTTATATCTAATCATTAATATTCCGTTTCGTGGATCAATTAGTTTGTCTTGTATAATTTTATTACTGTCCACACATCGGCATAGATGTTCTTTATTTTTTTATCCCTTCAGTATCATAGGACATGAAAACATCTATAATTATTCATTCCTGCGAAGGTACACTTCATAATATTAAACAAACATACATATATACAAAGAAACAAGCAATATATATTGATTATTTTTAGAATATTGTGAGCAAACGTTTTTCTATCACGAATCGCTGTAGATAACAATACATCTACTAAAAGATGTGTAATTGCTTCTTAAAACTGTACTTGACCGCTGTATTTTTAAAACTATGACTACAAGTGTTAAAAAGAAATAGCCGAATTATCTGTGTTACCAATTATTGAAATACGTTTCCTTGGACAAGTTGACAAGAAACGGCAATCCCTCAGCCAAATAGTCCGAGTTGGAGTGGAAAGCGTGAAATGACTACACATTAACATAGCAATAAGGGACCATTTACAATCGATTAGGAACGATACGATAACGGAACCGGTTACTGATTTCAGTTCACATTGTTACGAGTCACCGTATTCATTGGGGAGCCTCTATGAAGAATTAGATTCGACTTAGCCTCTCTTCAATAACCGATTATCATAAACTGTTACTTTTTTATCTTTGATGTTATAAGCTTCCTGTTACTTACAGTTACTTATTATTTAGATTCGGTTTTTTTTCGATATATCGAATCGGTCATTAATTCCCTTTTATGGAAGGCATAATAGGTACTTGTAATACTTTATTATGTAAATGTGGATGTTTGAATGATAGGTTGAAGATGATATTAGGTTAAAATTGGGTTAATCTGTTGGATATATGCATAATTATTTGTACAGCACAAGTGGATTTTATAAATGAATTTACAATTTTGGCTTCTATTTTCATTACCATTTATTAAATAAATATATATATTTTTAAATTTAATGTATAATAAAAAAATCATTTAAGCTGAATTATGGGTGGGCTAAAATGAGCCGTAACTGGTTGATAAAGCCGCACTGTTATAAATAAGCCACATGTTTCTGGACCCGGATTTAAGTGATTCATTCATTGAATGTTATGAATCATTTCTCATTAATATTTTTTTTAAATGAGAAATAAAGCACTACCCACTCCTGTTCAACTGATTATTACTGCATCTTTGAATCAGTTAATGAATGTGTGACTCCTTCTGTAGTCTAGACAGTTCTAACGACAGTGAAATAGATCCAGATAAGTCTTAAAAGAGTTGAAGTTGATTAGAATTAAAACGGTTTTAGTTATCAATGGACCGAAAATAAAGTAATTAAAACAAAATCAGCAGTTAAGCCGACCATGTCGGGTAATTTTCGCGTTGTAGTTAGTTGCAAAGGATGCCGACGCAACTAAACGCCAATAAAGCGACGTAACCGTTCCTCGGCTGGATTACATCCTGCGTTATTGCACGTCGTAGCTCGGCGATTTCCCTTTCGACGTGGTCTATGCTCGATTCTAGCATCGAGAAGGCTGATTGTTTAGGTGCTCCGTTAGTTATTTTTCTTTGTAACTGTTTTTAATATATTATTTTTATTACAGTTCGTTATTCTTTAATCTTCTTTGTTGAAATCAGAGAATAGTTTTTGCACAGATTATCACTAGTATAATATATATATTTGAACTTATTTTTTCAGGCGGTTTTCTGTTCTTAGATATTTCAGATACTTCGGCTGCCTGCGGTAAATACAAGAGGTCGCTAACAATATTGAATCAAGTCGATAGTATTTATTTTTTTCGAATATTAAGAGAATGCAGTGTTTTTATATTGTGTATTTTATTGTAATACTAATTATATATAAAAAACATCAAATGATATTTTAGTAAAGGTTATTCATGTTTACCTATATAGTATTTTCGAACATGATAGCATCTTCAAATTACTTATAAAAAATATCTATTTAAACATTTCAGACAAAAAATATTTAATATTTAAGTAGAAATCTCATAAAATAAATAAAATTACTTTATCTCGTAAATTTAGAGATAATAACATTGATGATGACTGATTATAGTAACATCGTTATTACGTTTTTTAATGGTATATTCAGCAATAACATGCAAATATAAAAAGTATTTATAATTAATAAAAAATGTTAATATTATTAAGTATGTTAATAAATAAATATCATTAAGAATATTAAAAAATATTTAAATTGCTTTATTTTAAAATATTTTTCAACTGTTATTGGAAAATATCGTATGCAGAAATTAAGTGTTTTACAGGAGAGCATATGATTATTCTTCAGTCTGCAATTGCTTTAAGTAGATAAGTGGTTTCCTTTTATGTAAAATGCCAGAGGAAAATAAAATATGAAATTATTCTAATAAATCATAAAGAAATAATCGGTTTTATGCTCTCCTGTAAACACTCAATTTTTACTCATAATCTTTTGCACTAAAAGAAGCTATTAGGAATATTTTTCCGAATGTTTTCGTCACATGTTTACGACGGGTAAGTAAATATTGTAGTTTCGGGCTATTATATAATAAAAGTTATAATAAAATCGTTTTTTTTTTAATCGTTTAATAGAAATTGTCCGAAATGTTTACCTTTTAATCATCGCGAAAAGATAAAGAAAATGAGAGTATATTACAAGTATTATTTTTTTTTTATGATTAGCCAGGTATTCATCGGGTGAGCTCCAGGCGAGGTAGATATACGGAGGGAGGGAGGAGGGAGGAGTGGGGAGTAGGCGTCCTTGGCTAGGAGGCCAGTCTGTCATGGTGCCCCCATGAAGCCACTTACCCTGGATAACCTCCGTCGCCTCCTTGGCGGTGGAAGGAAGAAGAAGGAGCAGCCTAGCTTTAAGAGGAGTGACTCCTTCAAAAGGATATCCATACGAAAAAATTGTCTCGACCGAGGTAAAGGACGGAAACCGCCCGCCCCCGTCGTGCCAGAAGAGCCGCCTTCGGATCCTCTCGTCATCGGTTACGGCCAGTGGATAAAATGTATGCGAGCCGAGGACTACGAGCACCTGAAGGAGCTGGGGCGGGCTTTGCCCCCGACACCGCCTCCAAGGAGAAAGTACACGCCGGACTCGAGCATGGAAGTGTTAAAGTTGGAGACTTCTCCAGTGGTTGTACGGCGGAGGCTGGAAGAAAGGGCGGACAGCGGGCTGTCGGTCAGCCTGGGCAGGGTGTGGATGGACGCGCCCCTGGCGATGGCCAACGCCCCGCGATCTCTGGAATTACCGAGGCCTTGTGTCGAACCCTCCAGGATACATCACAGCCTCGAGAGCGGCCTGAAGCAACCCCTGGCCTCTAGGAGAGTTCCGACACCTATAAATAAGACATCTGTTGACGTCAGCTCCAGCAAGGATTCGGGGTTTTCCTTCTCCGTTTCTATACCGCGACTTTCGGATCTTTCGCCGACCGGTAGTGGTGCTTTCTGGAAGGGATCGTCTTCGAAAACTTCTTCATCTAAGGCCAGTGGGTCCCAAGGATCGATAAGGGGTCGTAAGAAAAGGAACTCCGGTAGGAAGAAGTCTTTCGGGACAGCTCGAAGCGATATGTACCAGGTGGTAGTGAGCAGGCCGCCACGGTCCCTCAAGTCGCTGAAGCTGGACCCGATGATATTCGTCCCTCCGGAGCGTCGGAAACCCACCACGATCAAAAGGAGTCGGTACGAAGTGCAGGAGATTCGCGATTACTGTTACCCACGCGATTTGAGGTGCCGACCAGAAGACGAGGGTCTTTACGAGTGTATATCGGGTGACTTGAACGATGGTGAAAGTGAGGACAGGTTCGAAACTCTGTCAGAAGAGGATGAAGATGAGGATTACAAACGAGTGGTCATCAGGAGACCAGTACGGCGAAAGAAGTCTGGTAAGGCGAAGTACATTGCCAAGCCGACAATACATCGTGCCCCTTCTACCCTTAGGAAGAACAAAAAACTTATGAAAAAACAAGGTCAGTGCACTTGTACTATTCATATTCTTATCTAATATACATTACTATATTAGTCATGTTATTATTTTATCTGTAAGAAAACTTGGTTTTAAAATATAGTTAACAAACTGAATGAAACTATGACATAAGATCTTCCGCGAAATCTACTTCGCGATCATGTGTTTTAAAATTTAAAATCCCTTCCTTCTAATATTTAAAGTGTTCATAATTGCGGACTTTACTTTATCGTTTCTTTGTTGTTTCCTTCTATTACTTTTATTTTTTTTTTCATTTACTGCATTGCATGAAAATAAACGTCTATTGCTTCAAAATAAGTCTTCTCCAGATCCCTCTAATTATTTATTTATGAATTTGCTAATTAGCCATCTTAATTTATTCAGGAATGTTTTTTTTTACGAAAAGGAAAATCCTGACTATTTTCCTGATGCAACAAAAAGGAAACCTGGGAACGAGAGGAATTTCCTATAAAATGGGCTCTTCTGCGATCTTGAGGAAACCGGTTGTAGGGGAGTCGGGTCGTTTCCCATCGGCCGTCTTACGTCACGCCAATGAACTCTCAACAAGACTCTCTTAATGGCCAATACGATATAAAAAATAATAAGTAAATACATCAATTCAATGAAATAGTATAATAATAAAACATATTTTGTAATAGAAACATAATTTGTTAAAGTTGGAACTCATGCATTTCATACACGATCCTGTTAAGTTTATAAATACAATATGATTACAATTTTATTTATATTTCCTAAATATGCATATTTATTTACTTAAGGCAGAATTAACAACGACTTGGTTATTTTCCTCTGTAATCACTTAGGGTTAATTTGCCTTTTACTTATAATTTATTTATATATTTATTAATATCTCAGTATTCTTATTATGAATTGATTGTTCTTTTTCATTTGTCACATGTATTATCGATGGGTATATATTGTATCATCTCTTTTTTTTTTGGACTAGGTTATAGTCATATACAATTTTAACTCTGCTAACTGAATAAAAATTTAGTTTAATATTTTTTTTATAATCCAAAATATGATTAAAAATACGTTGCCTAACCCTTTGTTTTTTACCACACCTTCGTTGTTTAAAACAACCTCATAGTATTTTACAGACGTGTGGGATATTTTATTTAGTACAGAATCTTATGGAAACTCTTAATTTATTGAAAACCCGTGTAGGTTTAAAAGCATAACGTTCTTGTAAAATATTTTTATATATAATATATTATTATCATCCCAATTATCTTCGTAAAATATACCTTTTAAAACGTTGATCAATGCTGGAAATTTGTAACCCTTTTATGAAATATGGAACTAATATTTTTTTTGTTAATATTTATGTGATATTTTGTTTATAACTTTTCAGCTTCTGTAGGAAAATTTTTAATATTTTATATTATAATATATTATATATATTTTAATCGTGACGAATTTCGGTATCTGATTTTTAATAGGTCTTTTTTCAAAGCCTTCTGAGTAAAAAAAAAAAAAAAATACTTTTTCCACCATTTCGATCAGACTGTCTTGCGATTATCTCTTGAACGGATAGGTTGATTATATATATTTTTTGATGTGTTATAACGAAAAACATGTTATTCGGTGATACGGCATATCATACATTTTAGGTTTATATATATATATATATATATATATATATATATATATATATATATATATATATATATATATATATATATATATATATATTCCAGACCCTCATTCAAACTACAAGTAGGTAAATGTTTTACTCAGCTAAACTGTAAAATCTGTATCGAATAAATATTAGCGGAAACATAATTTATTTATTTTTTTGTATTGTATTGGTCATAGCATCTCATGTTTATTTTTATATTTATATTTATTTTTAGTTATTTTTATCAACTCCTTTAAATTCGGAGGCTTGTTTAAAAACGACACAAGAATTTAAATATCATAAAAGTGTTGAATAATAAAATCAACTAGATTTGTATAAGGTTTTGTTATGAAAATTTATAATGTTTAAAAAATAAAGAGAAAAACATTAAATTATATGAGTCATTATTAGTTTTTAATGTTTATTACTTTTAATATGCCTGTTTCTTTATTGTTAATAAATAATACCGTTCAACAAATGATAATATATTGAAATATGTCATTATTAAATGTATATTTTTTTTACTTTGATAATAAATAATTATTTTATTAATTAATTATTACTATTTTCATTTGCTCTATCTTCTCATTTCGGAGAATAAGTAAAAAAAAAAAAAAAATGCGCTATGTTTAATTTAGTTTGAATATTATACACGAAAATCAAACGATCGTAAAAAATAAGTAAACTAAAATCAAGTATAAGAAATGTAACCATCATGTGGATCCAGTTCAAGATAATTATTTCGTCGTAAAAAGAGGTTTATTTGTTCCTATTCCACTCTTTGTTTATTTGTTTTAAATTAATAATAAGTGTGTCGTCATTATTTACGCTCAAATCAATCTTTTTTCGTGTTATTCACAGCGTCAATCAGTAAATCATTCTTTTTTTGTATGCTTGACTGACGTTAGCAACACGTTGAAAACATGTTTTAAATCCCATCACTAGAGCTCGTCAACTAGTTCCTTTATTTTTAAATTTTCTTTTTAAATCATTAATCAAGTTGTTCTTTGATGTATGTTTATACTGAAAATATCTCGCTTTCAATCTACCCGTATTATTGTGGAGCTATGATTAATGTTATTTTTTTTTTTAATTTTACAATTGACTTATATACTTGTTTAATTAGTTTTCTAAACCGAATGTGTAGGTTTATGGCCCAGTTCTTGTAATTCTTCTGGACGTATTTACATTAAAGTGTATTTTAGATTTTTTTAAATTTTCATCATGTATACAATAATACAATATTTATTGCATGTATATATTGTATTATTGTATACTGTATATGTAATTGTTTCAATAAACATTTTGGAGGGTAAGAAAAAAAAAAAATTTAATTTTCATCATTGTTGGTTAATAATTGGTTATTATTATTGATCATTATTGATTATTATTAAATAATCTGTTTACGGCCATTTTTTTAGATTCAATCGAAATATAAAATCGTCTGATCTAATTATAAAGAATAATTTCAAATGATCTCTTTCAGACGAAGGTAATTCGTAATGAGGCAATGGCGTTAACATAGAACTCTTGCTAGAAATTAAAAAAATATAAATAAATAAAAAAAAATAACAGTATTATGTTCTATGGTAATTATTTGCTTTATTTATATATTAGTCATACTCCATCAATTTAAAATTTTCTCTACTTTAACCATTAAATGGACAATTTCTTTGCCCTTTTTCTTTTCTTTTTTGTTTTCAAAAAGTCAGAATGTTCTCTTTGCCTTGATAACTGTACTTTGTAATATTTAGGTGATTTTATTTTTAAAAACCTATCTTCTATACTAATTATAATCTTTATTTATATATTAGTCATACCGAATCAATTTTAAATTTTCTCTTCTTCTATCAAATGGGCAATATTTTTTTTTTCTGTTGATAAATTAAAATGTTCCCTTTGGCTTGAGACCCGCATCTTAAGGCACTGGGAACATTTTGAGTTAAAAAAATGAAAAAATTCTCCCCGTATTCCACGCAGAATATGAAATCTCAATTTTCATTTTTTTAAATTTAATATACAGTTTCTTTTACGCAAGGAAAATCAGTATCGCTTCTAACGGTGACATTTTGTAAACTGCAACTATTTTAAGTAGTTCACTAAAAAAGAAAATAAAAAGAGGGAAATAAAATATGAAATTATACTAATAAATCATAAAGAAATAATAGTTTCTTATTCTGTTATGTAAAAAAACTCAATTTCTACCTATAACCTTTTGTGCTAACAGTAGCGATATAGAACAACGTTTATAATTTAAAAGTTAGTTGTATTAAGAGAAACAGAGTAAAAAAATAATTAGTTAAAAAAAAAAATCCTTTCTCTCCTTAACTCTCCTTCTGGCTGTGATAACCTTAGATATTGATGGAACAGTTTCATTCTCCGCATCATTCATTGCAGTTTCTCCTCCAATGGGCTTATTTTTGCTTCAAAGAAGATTTGACAAAAATAAGGTTTTCTAGCTATTTTTTGTGATTACTGTCATTTTTATTCCGATTTTTTTTCAAGGGAATTCCTTTCCATCCTAAGGGAATGTATTTAATTGTTGAATTAATTAATAAATCGGTTGATTGTTGATGGAATTGACATCTTCGAATATTTAAACTAAGTTTAGTGGTCAGGTGGCTTTCACTACATATTTACTGCTCCAAAGTTGATTTCGTTCCACATGCCTGGTGCAAGTCAGCAAATGAAAGTCATTAGTTTTGTCCGATCGTTGAAGGTACCCAACTACTACTTCAAGTTTTAACATTCCGAAATGTCTAAAGTGGATATGCAAATCCATTCTCTTAAGAAGGATAGGATTTCCCCATTTTTGTAGTCGGAATTATTTTATTAATTTAATTTTTTTTTATCTACTTCATCTAAAAACTTTTTTATATATATTTCTATCAAAGGACCTATGTATTAATTAATGGCATAATATGTAATCATTGATTGTGATGTCATTAGCCGCCCCTAGTGCAGAGCCGACCAAGGTGAACTTGAGTTCTTGCTCATTGTCTGGAGCGGAACTATTATATTGTGTCCTGCAGCTCCAAGGATAATGGCCACAATATAGCCACTTTTCAATCCTCCTCAAAGGATAATACATACAAAGGAACAAGTTGTAGCCGTGTCCTGCCGGTGCTCATATCCCTCCCTACTAAGTTCTCAACCCCGTTCATGCCAGTCCATTGCGGTCTCTTGCTTGTATAAAGCTAGGGTTTACGACTTATTGACCTTATGAGGCCGTTTCTAAAGTCCTGGTCGTGGTAGCTGCAAGTTTTTACCATGGTTTAAGAACTTAAATGCTTTTTAGATGACAATACCAGCATTCTTAGACCTACTTCTTAGATAAAGGTAATTTTTTTTGTGATAAGTAT